CCCTTCAATAGAGGGTCACAAGTTGTTTCTTTTGGAGACAAATTATCACGGATGGAGCTAACTATCCTAATCCTCAGTCCTATACTCCTATTACTTGTTCTTTGCATCTACGAGTGTGTGTGATGAAGGATGCATGTTATCCTTGTTTGAAGGAACATTAGTGTTGCATGACTATTTTGTTCCCTCATTCCCAGCAGTTTAGATGTCATACCAAAATAGGAGGAAAAAAAATGTTTTGAAGTAAATGCACCTGGTGCCTTGGTGCTTTGCAGTTAGTGCTGTCTAAACAAATCTGAGTTTCTCGATGTCGTGGCCAATTGCTAATCAGATCTGTTTCCCAGGATCATCCTGACCATCGGCTTTATCATTTTCTCCTTGGCGGTTCTTTATGTTGTCTCAAGACGTATTGGTCTATTGACGCTGCAAAGGAAACTGGCCGATGCCATCAGATCCGGTTCATTATCAGCTGAGGACATCGTAGCGAAAGCCCAACATGGACCTGCCCCAGCAAACGTTCCTGCTCCCATTTATGATGAACTGTGATTCACTTTGTCCTCTGTGTTGTTAAGGTAATAGTTTTGCAAGTAGCTATTGGGATTTTGTCTACAGTCTGCAGTGATCATGTACCGACCTGTTATTCATTTGAGATGTATTATGTTTTGGTTACAGAGATATGCTAGTGAATTTCGGAAGATACTCTCCGATGGGACCAATTAGATGCCTCACTTGAGAAGTCGTCTCCTGACTGAAGTTCTGCTCATTCTGTAGGACGTACTTAAGCCTTGTACCAATATGGCAATATATGGTTCAGATAGTTCCATTAGTTTTTGACATGTAGAGTGTAAGTAGGATCTTGTAGGACCATCTCGAGATTGTGAAGCATTTTCCATATGCCCAATTGTCCATTTATTTTTTTGAAGCTGGATAAGGTAGCCTATAATTTTTGGGTTTGTATTATGGAATGAGTAAACGTCAGGTTACGGGTTACCTTGGTTGCAAAATGCGTTTGTTTGTTTTTTTTACTAAACTGGTCTTTGATGACATTTGAGAAGCCAAAATAATGTGCGACTTGAAGGACATGATCGATTGTGGATCTCAGATAACAATCTTCCTATCACACACAGGACCTAAATCTTCAGATGACAATATCCTAGGCTTCGAGTCCAACTCTCCATGTCACACATAATCCCCGTGTGGTTCTTCGGTGTCACACATAACCCCCTTCGAGTCCAACTCTATGTCACACATAATCCCCGTGTGGCCCTCCAGAGATGTTAATGGCTCTCCCGTCACCATGTAACCCGTAATGCTCTAGGTTATCTGACTATGGACTTTGATACCACTTGCTAGAGAGTGCAGCAGATTTGGCCCAATTCGTTATACCCACATGACAATGGTCCTCGTGCCTAGGTCAATTGGAGCCCACAACAAACCAAAGCCTTAGGTCTAACTCAACCAAAAAGACGATACTGATAGTTGAGGGTTGTCCCGCTTTATATGTTGTGCTCCCTCATCATCAATTTTTAATGTGGGACTAAACCTAACAGGAATTTGCCTATTTGGGTTTAACTTCTTGACTTGGCATGGGTTCATGTATTTTCTCAAATATATTCTAGGATTCAACGGTCTTGATGTGCTTGTCGACAATGAGACACATGTGGTACAGACAAGTCCAAAGTTGGTGAACCTAGTCGAGATAGACAGACAAGTTGATGGCAAACCATGCATTTTACTCATTTTGAAACTTAGAAAAACATTGCTCTATTTGTGCTATATATTTTAAATTTTTTTAGTGTAACATGCTCCTCATTGCATATCATCTAACGATGATCCCATTCACCCTTGGGCCTTAGAGTGGATCTTTCTTTCTTTCCAAAATCTCCAAAAAGAAAAAAATGTTGGGCCTTAGAGTGGATCTCCCATGTGTCTAGCAGCACTCTAGCGTGCTCCTACTTCCTTTGTGAAAAGAAAAACTTTGACCCCGTCCGGGAAAGACCGCCCCACGGTATTGCTTTAGGGCTTGTTCGGTTAGCTAGAAATCTACCTAGAATTGTTCCAGCTCATCAAAGGGTATATAAATTAGCCAAGTATTTCTAGTAGGAATTGTTCCAGGGCATGGTAACCGAACAATGCCCTAAGAAGTCGTACGTCTCAACCACAAGTCATCTTGAAACAGAAACACAGCCTGTACAACAAGAATTCTTTGCAGCAGATATCATTAGTAGTAGTATCGATCTAGAAGGCTCGCTGCCATCATGTGCAGTCAAATGCATCACTAGGAGAAGCAAAGCAAGGAATAGCACGAGAGAATGAAGCCATGAACAGGACATGTCCTGGAAATGAGGAAGACACAGACACGTCTGGCAGAGCATAGGAAACATTTCCTCCATTCCTTGTTTGTGGAAGCAAAACGCCAGTGATGACTGGCTACGTATACGCATTTCAGGCTTCACGTCAGCTATGGCAATCGAACTAAACCCTCAAAGGCTCAACTTAAGAACGAAGCGCCGAAGCGACCATCGATCAACATAGTCATCGCTATGTCCAATGATCAGCCAGCGACGACCAAAAAAACAAAGTATCGCGCGCAGCGCAGCTTGGGGCGGAGAACACGCCTCTCGTTGAATGGCTTAGCGCCGCTGATTGCATGGCATTTTCGTGCCTGCCAGGAATGATGGAAGCCGTCCACGCGCCACGCTGAATCTGGGCAGGGAGAGCAGGAGATGCCGCCGTCGTGTTGCGATCACACGCCTGATTTCCTCTCACGCAACCTACACCCAGAAGCATACTACTGAACGTACACCACAAAACTCCTATAGTCGAGAGCAATCATGCAGCCAGCCAGCCAGCCAGGCAGCCCCTGCTTCATCAGGACCCATGCATGTACATGTATGTTCATCAGAGGCTGCACGTGTCCCCAGCAATATGATGCCGCATTAATTAACACAAATCATTCGTATGTCTGAAACAGCAATAGGTCCTTGAGAACAGCGTGCTCTGTTCGCTTCGCTGAAAAGTCAGGTAAAAAGTACTGTTCACTAATTTGTTGTGAGAAAAAAAACACTATACCATAACTGATAAGTTCAAGCGAACATGGAACCATGAAAAGAGGCAACTAAAGCACCTAGGAGTTTTTTTAGAAAAAGCATTAGTTATTAAAGTTTCGTAAGATAGATTGTGGCAAAGTTAAAACTGAATATAGTTTGTGATAGCATTAAAACTGTATACACAAAACGTAACTTTATCTCCTACACCATCCATTTCAAATTGTAAATCGTTTTTGCTTTTTTAGATACATAATATTTTACTACGTGTCTAAAACATAGTGTATACCTAGATGTATGATAAAAATTATGAACTTTGAAAAGGCAAAACAACCTGCGATTTGGAGCTGAGAAAGTGGTTTTCCTTTGCATGAAAAACTATTTATTATGCACTAAATTTGAAAAAGAAAGGCTTGATACTTATTTTACCTTATTATATTATTATTAATCAATATTTTAAATCTACCGAATGCCACAACCGAAAATTTAACACATCATCGGAAATGTTGTGGGTAGGGCGTCCGATCGTCCGGACGCCCGCATTGGTGGGCCTCGACACCGCCCGAATGGCCTAACACCGCACAGTCGCTTGTGTTGCTCAACAAAATATCATCACAAGCAGCCTCGGATGCCTCCATCCTCAGACCCATATCTGATCTTATTAACTCTCTCATATCTTATCCTCTCATCTCACTTTTCCATCGCCCACTCTCACCACACGGTGTCGCTGATGGCATGGCCGCCATTTGCCGCCGTTGTAGTTCCTTGACTTCGCAGCGTGAGCTGTGGCTGCCTTCCGCAGCTGGTGTGACTGTGTGTGGCTTCGCGCTTCACCTTCACCCACGCCCGTATGCTCCAGAGCTTCACTCGTTGTTGGCAATGGCTTCTGCGCTGGCCACTTCGACCTCCATGCGGTTCCTACCGCGGCTCCCGAACCTCCTGCTGCCATCACCGCTCACGTGGCGGCCTCTCGTTGTCACGGTGGCCGCCGGCCCAAGTAGAAGCGCCGGGCCTTGGCGTGGAAGCCCTCCGGCCTCGCCTCCTGATACAGCTGCGGTGCCCCGCTGCAGATGGTGGAGGAGGACGCACCAGGATACGTCGCAGGTTGCAATCGTATGTTCCAAGTGTTTCAGATATTTTAGAAATATGTTGCAAGTATTTTATCTGTATGTTGTAAAAGTAGATCGGGATGTTGCACATGTTGCAATGGCTATACATGTATGTTTCAAGTGTATGTTCTAAATATTTCATCTGTTTTATACGTATATTACAAGTGCTTCATTTGGATGTTGCAAAACTAAATCAGGATGTTGCATAGATATGCAAGTGTTTCAGGAGTTTTCTTACGTATGTTGCAAGCGTTTCATCTTGATATTTGCATATGCTTGCAATGGCTACACACATGTTTTCAAGTTTTTCTGGTGTTTTAAAAGTACTTCGTCTGTTTTAGACATATGTTGCAAGTGTTTTATCTTAATATTTTAAAAGTAGACTGGATATTACACATGTTATAATGTGACTCACTTGCCACACCCGCCTGGTGCAACTGTGGGGCGCCACCATGGGTCACTCGGCGTGCTGCGTGAGGCCGGCAGACGCATCTGCGGTGCGGCATCCACAAGTGGGGGCAGATGACGCATGGACAAGCAAAATAGTGCGAGCATGATGATAGAGCGTTACGCAGGGTGGGGTCCACGTGGTGGAGCGCGCAAAAATAGGTGGCACAGGCTTCTTTTACGTGCGGCGTGGCCTCCCGCACCAAGGACTGGAGGCGCCACAGAAACGGGGAAAAAAATCCCTACCAGACCCACCTCCTGAACCCAACTTACCTCTATAAATACCCCCATCACAGACGAACGGCTTGTTGCAACAAACCATCGGCCAATTCGGGAGGAGCCCCAGGAAGAATCGTAGCAGCCAAGCCAACCGTGCAGGTGCCAGCTGGTGGTGCGAAGCATGGGCTCCCTGGGTCCTAGCGTGGTAACCCTGCAGCAGCAGCAGCAGCACAAGACCGGCAAGCCTACGGCGGCGGCGGCGGCGGGTGGCGGCCACCACGAGCAGGAGCAGCAGCAGAGCAGCAGCAGCTGCGGCGGCGGGTCGTCGTCGTTCCGGATGCCGCTGCACTACCCGCGGTACAAGAAGGCGGACTACGAGGCGATGCCGGAGTGGCGCGTCGACTGCCTCCTCCGCGAGTACGGCCTCCCCGTCGCCGGCGACCTCCGCGAGAAGCGGGAGTTCGCCATGGGCGCCTTCCTCTGGCCCGATCAGTACTGATCAACTACTGTACGTTTGTTGGAGTTCCAAGCAGATTGAAGCAGCGTATGCATGCATATGCATGGAGTGGAGATTAATTCTCCCCGCCAGATTCACATTCACCTATCTAGACATGGTGCATACGAGTGTGGGTATGCATGAGCTCCTTCTCGATCGTTCCGTGAAACTACTACTGCACTATCAGTGGTTCATCTCGCGTGCATGCATGCATCGTCGTGGAATCGATCCATATATGAGTGATTCATCATCAGCATATGTACATGTGCCATCTCATGTACATACCGCTACCATGCATGTGGGTAATGTATACTACTTACTACTTAGAGTATTAATTGTTAGTGCAAGTTAATTAGATATTTAATCAATGATGGTAAGCAGATTATCCCCGAGAGATTCTAGAATTGGTGTGTGAAAGCTCATCAGCTCGTTGATGCGAAACTCATCAGCATCAGTACTGGAGTACGTCGGTAATTAATCAATGTAAAATTTGACCGTCTGATTCCACTTCGTTCCAAATGTTAGATTTGGTGGTTTTCTCTGCCCTTTTTTTGGCCTCTATATATAATCTTCTTTATTGCATACGCTTATTATATATACATACACGCATGCCTACATATGCATTCATCGGCGATTTGGAGATAATTTCGAGTACAAAAATATAAACCTTGGGCCTTTCTTTTTTGCTGTCGTTTCTCATCCCAACAACACAAATGCACCACACACTGCTGGTGTATACGTGGCGCGCAGGGTTAGCAGAAGCATGCTGCCACAAAATGCCATGTCAGTGCGGTCGCGTTCACGAATCAAATCAAGAAGCCGTGCTCGTGTTCCATGTTCCATTCGTTTCCCATAGCAAGGATTAGTAGTAATATCCAGCAGCAGTGCATGTATGATTAATGCCATCCGATCACTGTTTCAGGGACATTCATTCCATTTCCTGCAATCATTCTTTTTTGAGCAGAATTTCGTGCAATCATTCTGAATCAATGGCCTAACAACATATCTAATCTTGGAATATAAATGGGCTTGGCCCAAATACGATTTTCCAATTATTGCAAAGGAAAAAGTCCAATTTATTTCCCTCAACTATCATGGTCGTCTGATTTTTCTCCTTGATGTACAAAACCAAAACCACCTCTCAACTTTTAAAACAGTTTGCTTTTGCACCTTGGGTGGTTTTGATGATGTGGCACCACATCAGAGGGGGGTAAATAAATTGAATTAAGTTAAAAGCTCAAGAAGGTAAACGGACAAAAACATCTAAAAATTCATAAAAATAATTTTTTAAAAATTTATACAAATATTTTTACATGAAAAAATAACTCAATGAAAAATCCTAAATTCTAGTTTAATCTTAGAAGATTTTTTTACCTTGAAAAATTATGAAGTTAGTTTCAGATTTTTTTCCCTAAAATCATGATCTATCTTATGGTTTGTAGCTCAAAGTTGTTTGAATCTCGATGGACTCATTTTGGTGTTTAGTTGTTATAGAAGTTCTCACTATCTATTAAAATTAGTCAATGTTATCATCCGGACTATGCAGAAGCGGCAGTAGAGCGTCATCAGGACTGCAGCGGGCGCTGGTCCCCTACTCGAGATAATTTTTCAAAGTAGCTGTGTTAGCCCGCGTAGCTGCATGCACCTGCTGCACATATAAATGCTCTCGTTGTCTATTATATAATTCGTCTACGTTAATGACCAAGTGACTTTGATAACAACACAAGTGCCATGTGACAACATCATACTTAATACTATTTAGTATGAACATAAGTCTGAGTCAATCATGTTCGTGCCACTTCATTCTATTTGTACAAACATTAGACTATCTCCAACAACAACACAAAAAATACAAGACTCATTTATCCTTTGGGTAGCGCTACAGGTAAAAGGTTCAATACCTATTCGGCATCTTCTCCAACAACAAGACCCAAGAGAGAATCCTTTCTGCAAATGAGTTTCCAGAAAAGAAGATGCTCATATTTAGGTTGTGTCTCTCAGACAACCCAAAATAGGTCTTGAAAGGACCGAGACGCCTAAGAGCGGGGGGTGTTTAATTAGGCAACTAAAAAAATCTAACTCTAAATTATGGCCTATTTTTCTAACCTTAGCAAAACCTATGCAAAAGATAAACTATCTAAATGTGCAACTACAGTTTTGCTAATGTGTTGCTATCTCTACCGCAAAAGGAGTAATACAATCAATGTAAATGCGGAAGCTAAAGAGCAAGGTAGAGATATGCAAACTCCCCTCGACGACTCCAGTATTTTTACCGAGGTATCGAGAAGCGCGCAAGCTTTCCCTAGTCTTCGTTGGAGCCCCTCACAAGGAATCCCTCACAAGGGCCAAGCTCCCGGTCGGGTAACTCCGTGGATAGCCTCGGGCCTTCCCCACACGCAAGTGGGTCTCCGACGTGCCTTTCGGCAAGCCTCTCCCGGATGCTCCCCGCCGTCTTCACTATCAAGCTTCCGGCCGAAACGCTGCGGGCCTTTTTCCCTCCGGTACACGGTGGCGGCCACACCACAAACGCGGTTGGTGTGATCTCGCAAGACTACAAGCCCCTCCGATGTACAACAATGGTGCGCGCAAGCACCGAGTGGTAAGAGGTATGCAAACCTCACTAAACACTAGGCATAAACCTAGAGCAAGCGCATAAGTGGTGGTCTAATCAACCTAAGTACTTCGCAAAGCACCTACGCTAATCATCTAATGAATCACTAAGCACTATGTAAGTGGAGATCACTAAAATGGTGTATCAACACCCTTGATATGTTTCCTCAGCTCCACACACCTCAAATGGCCGGTTGTGGGGGGGTCTATTTATAAGCCCCACTGAGAAAGTAGCCGTTGGGGACGAAATCCTGCTTTTCTGCTACTGACCGGACGCTGATCACGTCCTGACCGGACGCGTCCGGTCATCCCGATCGTTGGAGCCGCGATCCACTGATCGGACGCTGCCAGGGTCCGGTCACATGCCACCGGACGCGTCCAGTCGTATTTTCACCCCTCTGGAACCTCTCTGTACTCGACCGGACTCTGTTGTCCTGCGTACGATCGATCTGCCGCCAGCGTTCGGTCCAGTGTCTGGTCACGCCTGTTGCCGAGCCTCTTGATCGGAGCGTCTGATCACTTTCCTCCAGCGTCCGGTCCAGCATCCGGTCACTTCTGTGAGCTTGTTTCTTCGCGATCTTGCGTACGTCTTGATTTCTATCTTCATGCTTGGACTTTGCCTGATATCTTGGGTATTCTCTTGTGCTTCTAAGGTCTTGCTTATGGTGTTGATCATCGGATCATCACGTTGCCTTCGTCCAAGTCACGTCTTGCATCCTATTGAACTACAAAACAATCACTTGCAAGTTCATTAGTCCAATTTGGTTGTGTTGATCATCAAACACCAAAATCCAAAGTAAATAGGCCAAGGGTCCATTTTCCTTACGGGTCTCCCGTATAGATACTCTGTTGGAGGTTGATTTTGGGTCTCTTGCTACCCATTTTGGGTTTGGGTGCCTATATGGGTTCCTTGTTGGAGACAATCTTATGACCCGTGTGCTACCATCTAGTTTTTTTCATGCTACACTCCATAATTCATTATATTAGAACTTAATTAAATTTAATAGTTTATAAAACATAAATAAATATATTAAATGAAGGGTGCATGCATGAATATATGCATATGTGTGGTAGGGTGCATGCAACAATTAGGCTAACACAACTACATTGATAATTTATCCAGATGATCAACATCAGCTAATTATAATGGATAACGAGAGCTTCTACTAGCAAATAAGAACCAAAATTAATCTATAAAGATTCAAACAATTTTAATCTAGGCACCATAAGATACAACATGATTTTAGAAAAAAATCTGAAACTAGTTTTTGTAAGATTAAACCACATTTTAGTATTTTTAACTGCATTGTTTTCTCATGTAAAAGTATTTGGATATTTTTTTTAAAATTTATTTTCATGATTTTGGATATTTTTTAAATGTATTTCTTGTCCGATTTTCCTATCTGAACTTTTAATTAGTCTGATTTAACACCCCACCCGATGTGGCGTCAAATCAGCAAAACCACTATCTAAACTACCCAATGTGCAAAAAAGAATAGTTTTAAACTTTGGGGGGGTTCAAAAACTAGTTTTATAATTCAGGGAGCAAAATTAGACAACCATGATAGTTGAGGGAGGTAGATTAGACTTTTTTCTGTTCCAAATAAACCTCAAAGGCACATTCATGTGGTGCATATGGAGGAAGTGGTGGAACTTTGGTCCCCCCTTGCTAACTGAAGTAAAGGATGGCATGCTTAAACGTGAAAGCCCTCTCCACTCCGCCAAATCTACTGTGGGTTTGAGGGAAGGAAACTCTACAGGCACACGTGCTTGTTCACCTCATTTAGCTTGGGTCGGGGCTAGGGTGTAGGGTATAGGCACTTGCGTGAATGGTCCACCAAAGTTAGGCTCATGACCTTGTGAGAGTAAGGCCTCTTTTTGTTGTTTTATTTTTTTGTTGCTTAGCCTTTAAGTCTGTGAATCAGAAATCTAATCGATTTAGATCCTGAAGGCAACAAGAGATTGTACAAGTCTTTCCTATATATACAACCTATTGGCCACTGCCAGAAACATATCTATTCGAGGTAGGGTTCTACCTCTTTCCATTTGCGCTGTCATCGTAGTCTCTCAATCTCGAGCACTTAGATGCATTGGCGATCGGGAGAGTTCTTCGAAACCACTCGCTCATGCAATCTCGCAATGGAAGAGGGCAAATAAGGTTTTTGGGAAGTTCCTTCATCTTTCATCCATTGTCGTCGACAACATTGATCTGTTATGGCATCTCCATCTGTAAATAAGAAATATGTACGCCATAATTGACCTGTTATTTTAATATATCTATTATTTGTGGCATTGTGTTTATCATGTTGTTGTTGTTCGGTTCAACTAGTATGATAGAGAATTACATGTTAGCTAGTATATGTTTTTTTTCATGATTTATGCTCCAAAACTAA